TGCTGGTCTGGCAGGCACTGAGTGTGAAGACCCTCTTCTGTGAATGGAAAATTTCACTGCCAAGTGAAGCTGATTAAGGATTCTTTACTACAAAATAATTTAGACTGAGCTTAGAAGCTTAGCAATCAATTCCACCCTTTGCTGACAGTAATGGCTAGCCTGGTAACTATAGAAGATGTGTAGGATCTTATCCTGTCATGGCATTAACACAGATACAGGCAAAGGGATGTGAGAGTCAGGGTAGGCACAGATTTATTTAAGGCTTGTGCTTATGGGGTCAAACTTGGTGCTAGGCTGCTAAATTCCAATTTAGGTACTTAAATAAAATAACCCATTTCTTTGTTTTACAACTGTATAATTCATACAGTAGATAAATGGATATACATAAAAGTATGAATCAAAAAGCAATTTGTAATCCTCAGTCTTCTGTTCCTCTCCTCTTTCCTGCGCGCGAGATACTACACATTGTGTCATAAACAGAGCTGGCAGTGATATGAATGTGGTTATCCATTTTAATCCTGCTATTTAAAATGGAAATAACACAGAGTTAGCGTGTCAGTCTTACTCAGACCTATATCCAAAATACGTGAGAAAAAAAGTTGTGGCTACTCGATGTCGGCATATAGATCAAACTTCTTTACAGAGCTGAGACATCAGGAAAGTCTAATAGTTTTCTTACTATAATTTAGGGCCAGGAAATAAGTAGAGAGTAGTATTCAGTTACCTCCCATTTGGGCTGTAGAACTTGCTTACACATTCATTTTATCCAGAGAAGCTTGTCTGAAGCTTGTCTGATCGTTTTTAATGCACTTTTTTAATGCACTCTGTTTTCCTTAAGTCACGCCAGTATTTGCAACTGACTCAAGTGAAATGATTGACATTTGCTTTTTTAACTTTATTCACAAGTGTTTTCTGCCAGACAAAAGTAAGTTGTGTGAACTGTTAACTTGGTTTGCATATCAGTTGCCTTATTATCACCAAACGTTTGTGTTGAGAGAATTTTGGTTGCAATTTTGTTTTACACATTTTCAGTAATTTCAGCTGTGTTAATTATCATGACTGAGTATAGGCTTCTACAAATGCATGTTTATGATCACACATAAATAAGTATCAGCCTACACAATTTGGCACATAGCTCAGTGTGCTGTCACAGAAAACAGTTGTAAGTTTCCTTTTTTGACTGTACTTGAGCATATACTGAATTTCTTGTTATTTCATTTACTCTACCCTATAGTATATTTTGACTTGTTATAGGTCTTCAATAGGTAACAGTTACCAGCGCATAGCAGTGGAGCATTCAGAACTATAAATACTTGAAAACTGGTGAATCATCTTCCACTTCTTATGAGTCACAAGCATCTTAGTGGGTTTTGCAAGTTAACAAGTTTTGGATTTGTATAATCATAACTAAAAATGAAGTTGTCTGTTTATAACCTCAAAACCAGCACTTTTTTTTTTCACCAGTGAAACTTGCTGTTATAGAAGACTTTAGGCCTTTCTTTTCAAGTATTTGCTGACACTTCAGAGTTTATCTGAACTTTTTTTTTTCATGAAGAAAAGGGGAATAAACAATTCAACAGAGAAATTTGAGGTACTGATGTATTGTCATAGGTTTTTTTTAAGAAAGCCTCAAAAATAAATCGCATTTCAGTTAGAAATAGACTACAAGTAGACCTAACCAGCTTGACAGCCTGGCTGTTGAAGTGTCTGTGTGCTTAAATGATTCAAAAAACCTTTCTGGCCTTGACTGTGCCTCCTCCGAGGCTTTTCCATTGTGGATTGGCTCCCAGTTGAACAGCTTTGACCTGCCAGTGTGGCCCTGGGATGCTTCTGCATTGCCTCCTGAGCAGCAAAGCCACAGACCCGTGTGTTTCCAAAACCCCCCATGCTGCCTTTCAGGAGACCACAGCCTTGTAACTTATAACCAGGTAGGGAGCGTGGTTGGGATTGTTGTGCTTGGCTTTTCATGAGCTTGATTCTGTGTGGTATCCCATTTCAGCCGAGACTGGTGTGCCTCCTTTGAATCTGTGCCATAAGCAGATGTGTTTTGTTGGCTTGGAACTGGTGATACAAGACGTTGGTCATGCATTTCAACAAATTAGAGGTGTCCTTAGCTTTAAATGGAAGTAGACATTTCTCTCCCCGTAAATGTGCAAGTTAATCATGTCTAATTGAGAAGCTATCCGAGTCTGTATTTCCTAGATTTATTAGTGTTGCCAGTGTACTTAACTTCCTATCAACTTTGAAAATGATTATACGATTCCCAGTAATTCTGATACACTACAGTGTCCCTGTGAATAAGGACAAAATTCCTGCTTATTGTTTCCAGGGAACAAAGTTGGTCCATTCCATAAATCACAAGAAATGTCACCAAGAATTGTAATTGTAAATTTTTGGGGGCAGAAACTGCAGAAAGTGCCCAGAAACTGAAGCATTCAAGTTCCTCATTGCTACTGTAGTAAATAAATAACAATGATGAATGCTTGGGAAAGCTGGCATCAGCTCAGGGAAAAGAATGACTGCACGTGGATTTGCTTTATTTCTTCCTGAATTGTCTCTGAATAAAAAAGAATTTAAATGTATTAGAAACTATTATTCTTTTCTGTAAAAAGGATATGGAGCCTGCAGATCTGCTGTAGCTGTATCTGTGCTTGGCGGCTCTCAGTTAAAACTGGGAGTTCCTCACCAACCCACATAGATTTGCCCAAATACGTCCAGACTACTTATTCCCAATGCATGTAGGCATAAGTGCATACATACATCTTTTCGGAGGACTTAGTCCAAACTGTCCTCCCTTACTAGGGTTTGCTTTTCTTTGAGCTTTACAACTAGAAACCGTCTAGCACTTCTTTTTTCCCCTGTTTTTCTCCGTGTGAGAGCCATCTATGAACCTTTTTCCCTCTTAAGAGAAACATTCATCCCTTTCCCCTTTTTACTAGAAAACCCACCAACTGGTGTAACACCAAGGCTTTTTTAATCATGACCACCAGTCCAGAATTGAAAAAATAAGGGAAATTTCCTGGTATGTCAAATTACATGTGTGGCATTGATTGCTGAACATGTAATTCGTATCAAATCACATGTGAAGCATCTATTGCAGAAGTCTCCATCTTCTTACAGACCCATCAGATAACTTTTCATCCCTCACGACCGTAAAAAAATGTCTCTTTGTTAATTGTATGTGTGGCTGCATGTGTTTTCAAGATGGATTCATTAATCATAGTGAAAAATACTCGGCATCTTGTAGAGGGTTTGACAGTGCAGCAGTTGCAGTTTTGGAACATTTGGACCCTGTGAGCCCAATGTGAAATGTTAATAACATCAGTGCAGGTCTATTTCAAATGCGGCTCTGAAATAAATTCTATTATGGAAGCTGTGGAGACTGTCAAAATGAGTGTATTTCCTCATTTAAAGGAATAAAGAACACTAAAGCTCACCCCAGAGCTGCTTTCTATGTTCTGCAGCATTACGGTGCACATCTCCAGTGTGGGAGTCCGGCTTGGCAGGGCCAGCGTGTTTTGAAGCCTGTCCTAAAATCTGCTGGTGAACCTGATGCTGCGGGAGAAGCACTTGCCACATATGGCGTTTCTTCCTTGGGTGACTTCGTGCTTTCCTTTAACACGTTTCTTCTAGATGCTTGCAGTGGAACGGTGTGCATCATCTCCCAGAATTAAGGGTATCACTCCAGATTTTATTTAAGTTCTCATTTTATCTTTTGCTCGAGGGAGGTGTGAAAGGGGGATTTCAGTCTCCAGTAAATAACGCCATGGCAAACGGTTGTGTGATTCTGACTTCAGGTTATTTGAAGTGATGCATTTCAGGCTTCATGAAATTGTTTTATCCTTCTCTTAAGAAAGCCAACTGTAATTAGCAATTACAGTAGTTATTAACAGGAATACTACATTAGATGTTATGACCTAAAATACATATATTAGCCTATTTTAATGAGTCAGACTAGCATAGAAAAGACAGTTCCATGTTACAGCTTTTCAAGAATCTCTTTATTGTGTTCTGCTCTAGCAGATAAGCATTCAGATTTTGTGATTGCTTTTAATAAAGTTGGTTTGTCTTCAGGTGTTAAATATAAATTCAAAGTGTGTGTGAATGTGCAAGTATCAGTGTTACAATCTCCTGCCTGAGCAAAGTTTTCTGATGGGTGGATTAGTGTTATCTGGCTATTCCAATTACATTAGCTACCCTAGATGATGACTGAATGTTTTTTCCTGTGTTTGGACAAAAAAGAAATTTAAAATAAATTTTAGACTAATAAAAAATTGTTTGATCTATGCTAAAAAGTTTTAATTTTAAGCTTAAATTTTAAGCCTTTTAAGCTTAAATTCAGGGAGATGTTGAAATTAAGAAATAGTGAAAATGTTTGAACTTTTTGACATTTAAAAATTACATATTTTAAGATCATTATTGTAGGCATTTGGTGCAAATTTGTAAGCATTTCAACCAATGTAGAGTTATTTCTCCCTGTCCTAAAAAGATGAACAATAACTAAGAAAATAAACTTTGTGTAGTTATCATCATATTAATTATTTTTATATAGCTAATGTACAGTCCTTGTTTTACTATTAAATTGTTTTGGAAGAATTTTAATATATTAGTAACTTTGGAATCTACCACACTAACGGTACTAAAGTTGAATTTACCACTTGCACATTTTTCTTATCAATATGGTCATATTTGTTTTGTAGGAGGAAATCCAGGCATAAAACTATTAACAAGTACTGGTTTTGATGGTTTCCCATTTTTTTTCAGTGGTTTTAAATAAGAATGCTATGCTGACTTGTTTTTTCAGAGAGGTTGAATTACATAAACATATGAATTACATAAATTGTGAATGCAATTGCAACCACATCGTAGCTGATAAATAGTAAACAATCAACTTCCACGGTTTTGTTTTTGATGTTCATATTTACTAGGAGAACATATAACATGGTCTGAGTTCTTCAGTGCTTTATCAAGAAAGTCAAATGCCACTTTTTCTTTTCCAGGGCTTAGTTATTGAACGGCTCGGACGCAGGCCTCTTCTCATCGGGGGTTTTGGGTTGATGGTTCTCTTCTTCGCAGTACTTACTGTCTCTCTAACTTTACAGGTAACGCTACAGTCACTACATATTTTTACTCTTTTGCCTACTTTAAACACGTGGTGCTCGATACCTGTTCGCCTCAGCATTCCTACATAAGCCAGTCTTTTTAATCAGTTTGACATAAGGATTTGAAAGTCTCTGTTGTTCCTTTGTGAATCTGTTGGTTTCAGTGTACGATGGTTAGCCATAGCAGCTTTTGCATTAAAACACCTTATGGGCTTTGTCACATTCAGTCTCCTTAACTCAAAGATTTGTGCATATCCTGAACTATAGTGAAGGCAGTTTTACCAATAGTTGGGTAGTTTACCCATATTCCGTGTTTTTATCTTTGTAATGCAGTCTTCTTGAGATTTATTTTGTACTTTATATGTCATTCTTAGTCTTAAGCTTGGATGTTTCTTTCCAGTAGAGAATAATTTCCATGTCTGTTGTTTCTTCCAAGTTCCATTTTTGATATTTTTATTGCAAATATAAAGACTTGGCCTTTGTAGAACATATGCACTTAATTTCTCAGATGTTATTAGGAGACATTTCCTCAGCTATTTCAGATGGTCAGAGGAGGATTATTAAACCAATCTAAATACTGACCCTGAGTCATTTTTCCTTGTTTAGCTTCCATTTTCATAACGATGCAATTTCTTTCTGTTCCTGAGGGCTTTTGAGAAGTAAAACTGACTGTCTGCAATGGCATGGATTTGGGTGGTCTTACATCAAGTTGTTTTTCTGCTGTTGTTGATTCCTTGTCTTGCCATTAATTTGACTTTCAAATCTCATCTCTTGGTTGAAGAGAGTCAGTAGTCAGTTGGACTAGCAGGTGTATGCCACACCATTGCAAAGTGTTATTTGACTTACCTGTATGTACAGTACAATAAAGCTTTAGTTCACGAGCCCATCGTGACAACTACAAGTCAGGTCTCCAGAGGAGGGATGTTATTGCAGCAGAATGGTAAAAAATTCTCTTCCAAATCTTTTAAAACCTAGTCTGATCAGTGAGGACCTTCAGCTATTGTAAATCTCTGAAGTTTGTGTGCCTTCCAGTTTTAGTTCCTTTCAGAAGTGTATCAGTCTGTTAAGTATGAGAGATTAGGTATTGCTTTGAACAAAGGACCTGGGGTACAAATAGGCTTGATCTCAGGGGAATTTGTATCTACTGGTTTTCTACCTTCTCTCTCTCCGTGTCTTTAGAGACCTTGGATCTGAGTTCAGACAAGAACTCCAAAATTATTCCGTTTACAATTCCGTTAAAGAACCATTTATAGTTTGTTCTCTTTTCCCTGTACGTGTTGTTTGCACACGTGGCCCTTTTTGTCTGCAAAATCAGATTATGGCTAAAATCCCTGGACTGTGGCTTTCATGTGCTTTGCTAAGGTTCAGATACAGCTGTCCTACTGAAAGGCAGCCTGTCGTCTCTAGACTTCAGCCCAGCCTTTAACTAGGGAACTTTGAAGCTCTATGGGCCATCATAGTTGCTCTTTTTAAATAAGGATGAAATACCTGAGGAGGATGGAGGTGCCGAATCTCTTCAATGGAAAGAAAAACTTTCCAGGATGTCTTGAACTTTAGCACAAGAAGTTTTAAACTTTAAGAGTTGTGACTTCTGTGGTGCAAGAGCTTGTCTGGTGTTTTTCTGTAGGGATTCCACAGAGACCAAAACCTTTAATACAAATTATCTATTAAAATTCTACAGAAATACTGTGATTTTTCTAAAGTAATTCTAGACTAATTTCTGAACTAGAGAAAGAATCATGGAAAACACTATTATCTGTGAGTTTGTTTTGTTTTTTTTTTAATATTGGTGCGTACGGTATACTTACCATGAATGTCCTTTATCTACCCAGAAAACCGTGCATTGGCTTCCTTATCTCAGTATATTTTGCATCCTTGCAATCATTGCATCGTTCTGCATTGGACCAGGTATGTCTATATTTTTTCATGTTTCTTTGTACATCAAAGCATGGATATTTTCACACTGGTACTATGTTAACAAATTGCTTGTAGGGTACTTCACTTTAGCCTTATCTGATGACCACAAGGGTTCTAAGACAGTAAAAGGTGATAGCAACACAAAGCAACAGAAATATTCTCAATAAAAAACCATGTACACATGCATTCCTACTTGGCTGTCAGCATAATTGAGAACTAGTGCCTAAATTGCAATCAGTACCAAATTCAAATGTTAGCTATTATTGTAGGGTTGCTATGATTTTGTGAATCTATAAAAAACACTCAGACTGGAAGTGGAGTGTTTTATTTATCAATGCTTGTGTTAGCAGTTCAATGCCAGTAGGATGCAACTTGGACACTGGTGGGAGAAGAGGACAGTTGTGTGTGGTTTCTTTCTTCTCTTTCTTTCCAAAGATAGAGAAGTGCTGTGTGAGAGGGTTTACACACACTCTTTAGGAAGATGATGGAAACTGCAATGTCCTGATGGTGAAGCTGCTTCTTGTCTGGCAGTTTTTTACTGACTGCATAAATTTCAAATCTGATGCCCTCAGGTAACTGGTTTTGTAGGTTGTAATGAGTTTATCAGATCTATTTCCACAGACCAGTTTTGATTACATAGAGATGGATGCAACTTCTTAGAAAATCCAGTATTTCCAGGTTGTAATTTTTTGTATTTTATTTGATTTAACACAGAATGTGTTTAAGGTATATAAAAAAAAATAAAGCCAAACCTTGCTCAGAAGTGTAGAATGAAAGGACAAGAGCAACAGTCAAGTCTTCAGCAAGGGCAATTCTGACTGGGTAGAAGAGAAAAAAAATTAGAGTGGTTAAGCACTGGAAGACATTGCTCAAAGAGGCCTTTAAATCTCCATCCTTAGAGCTATTCAAAACTCATCTGGACAAGTTCATGAACAACTGGCCCTGCTTTGACCAGAGGCTGAACTCCAGATGTGCCTTCTAACCTAATTTATCCTGTGATTCTAATTGCATCATGTCTTTGGAAAATGCATTTTAATAGCTATGCATAATATGCAAACATTTACCTGAGCATGGTATTTCCCTAAGCAGTGTTGCTCTAGCCTTTGGATACTTGATCAGAATTGGATCCTGAAGTTATCAAACAATGAAATGTTAACAAAAATTATTTGCAGACAGATAAAGAGAAATTCAATCCAAATTCAATACACATACAGAATAAGATGTCAAAACAGTGCTTAAATTTTCAAAGATTCTATTACAAACTGTTCTCCACAAAAGTGGGAAAAATCAGCTGCTTTTTACGTGTTTTTTCACAGCTGTTCTGCTCTAAACCTGAAAGCAAGAATTCTGTTCCCTTGAGTTTTCAGGTTTTTCCATGCACCATTTATTGCCTCTTTCTCTTTATAAAGAGTTTGACATTGAACATTAATCAACTGTTTATACATCTTCACCACTGACATGATCTAATTAATTGATTGTGGTTTATTTGGGGAAAGAAAGAGTAGCTGATGTTTCATGTGACTCTAATGAAATATGGTTGTAATTCTGTAGATCCTCTTTTGGAAAAGCTGAGGAAAAATTATGCTGCTTTAGAGGAAAATGGGGAAAAGATCAAAATACTCCTTTTCCCCTTGCTTCTGGGAAAATAGTTTGTCACTAATCTCTGTGCTTATTCCTTTGCATATGGTAGCTGACTGGAAAGAGTCAGACAGGCTTGACTAGGGTCATTAAGGCACCTCGTGTTGGACTGTAGGTGGCCTATGAAGACTGTTCTCCTTCCTCACCTCCAGCTCTTCTTGCAAGGCGAATAGTGCAAGAAGTCTTCCAATCCCGTTGTCCTCTGTAAGGACAAACTCAGGTTCAACTAAGTCCCTAGTATTGTGGACATATGTTTCTTAGGTTTTGGTTTTTTTAAAAGAAGAATTCTGTAGAATAGGGCTGCTCTTCCATTTTGAATACCTAAGGAAAGTCAAATGTTGACTTGAAACTTCTTGAAAACTTCCCTTCCAGTGTTTTAAGTAGCTCAAACAATTTAAGTAAGTGCAACTGCTTGCAACATCTACCTTTGTTTTTTCTAAAAAGCTGTTGAAATAAATTGTAATTTTTTTCAGTATTACAGACATGTTCCACCAATTTTTAGAACTTGCAGATCACTGCGTTCTTACATGTTGTATTTCCAGCATATTAAGATTAACCCTCTACATTTCTACTTCACCTCACCATTCTTCAGAATGGATTCTGGTTTTCTTCACTTAGCTTCTTTCCTTTTACCAATGCAATTCAGGATTTTCTGTTGTACTTTGCACTCTCTTTGGAGCAGTGTCTGCAGATACATGCAGATTTATTTTTTTTTATATTACTTACTTGCTTTCTACAGAAATTCTTTAAAATTAAATCTTCTTTTGTGTTTTTCATTGTGCTCATTGCTTTTAAAGCCAAAGAACATTAATACTGTATGAGTAGCTACCTAGTCGGCCTCTCCACCTTTCCTGTCTGTGTTCAAACATTTGTAATACCTGACAGCCGTGGGAATATCTCAGTAGCACTGAACATTGCTTTGCTGCTTATGAAAATTTGGTTAATTGACACTTCAGCTGTTGAGAAGTTGCAAAGAATCACATTCTGGTTCCTCTGTAAATCAATAGCAATATTTTAGTTGACTTCAGTGGGGCCAGATTTACCTTCAGTGAAACTTTTCTGTTCTGTTTAGTGGGGCTTTGGAGATCTAAACTACTTGGCAACCTCTCAGCTAGGAGCAGTTCTCTTCAGAATATGAAAGCAACTTCCATTATTGGCCATGTTTTAAGATGGGTGAATGAGAAGAGAACATATATATATGTTTTTTTCTGAACAAAGAAAGTGTTACCAAAAAGTGAATCATCCACTGCATCACAACTTCAATATTTGAGTGCAATTACTGTGTCAAGTTGTACCCCCACTCCCCGCTAGAGGACATCAATAAACTGGGGCAAGTCCACTGGAGAGTCACCAAGTCAGGGACAGGAGCCCTGTGAGAAAGGGCTGGGTGAGCTGGACTTGTTCAGCCTGGAGAAGAGGCAGCTTTGGGGGCACCTAAGAGCAGCCCCCGTACCTGTGAGGAGGGTGTTGCAATCACAGAGCCAGGCTCCTGTCGGTGTTGTGTTGCGGGAATGCTTTGGAGACAAAAGTGTTGAAATGAAAGACATGTTGAAACAAGAAAGATGCAGAGTGACTGCAAGAAAAACATTTTTGCTTATAGGCAGTCAAGCAGGCAACCAAGGATTTTGAGTCCTTAATTACTACACAAACATCAAAATGGAATAGTTTTACTTCTGTTTTTTTTATTTTGGAACTCTGTAGTCCAGTGGGAAATCTGTATTTCTGGATCTTCCTAGATAGGGCAAGTGCTACTCACTAGCAATTACTCACTGATTTAAAATTGGGTTTGTTTTGTTCAAAAATACTGTGACAGCTATACTAAGATACCTATATGTGACAGATACGGCATATATATATCATACATATACTAAGGAACTGTTTCTCAGGGAAGTGCGCAATGCCAGTGGAGTGTCACGGTACAAAAAAACATAATTTCTTTTAATGGGAAAGTCACTGCTGAAAAACAGCCTTATCTTTCATTTCCTACTAATGTTAAGAGTTTTAGCAAGAGGAAGTAAGCAGGAAAGAACACATTTTTGGACACATCTCCAATGCAGTGGAGCGTCTAGAGAAAAGTACGAACCAGGCGAGACACTTTTCCAGAACGAGTACACATTTACTACAGCTTAGGGTCTTCCTGAGACATAGTTTCCAAGATTTTTGTGGTCTTCTATTAATTTGTTCATTCTCCATCTGAAACTGCAAAATTTTAGCATCCTGTAGCAAAGAAATCTACATGTCTACCGCCTCTCATGTATGTGAAAACATCCTATGTTTTGCTTTGTGTGATGCCCTTTAGGCCTTGCTTTGGAAGAAGCAGAACGATTTATGCCTTTCCTCCCTCTTCAAGTTTCTTGTGATCTTGTAGACTTTTACCTTATCACCTCAGATTTTTCTAGACTGAATGGCTATTTCTTATTTCTTCCACTTCAGTCTCCAGTATTCTTTTGCAGTAGTCTGGTAGTTTAACAAGACAAGGCTGAAGGCTAGGAATAACTTTCCCATCTTTCTGGTCAGTAAAAGAGTTTTTCCCCAAGAAAATTAGTGCATACTCTTTGTTATGAAGTTGCAGATTTGTAATGTTTTTAGCCTTTTGTAGAAGGCTGAGTGTCATTTGTTCCTGTTGGTTAAAAAGGTTGGTTAAAAAGGTACTGTCATGGTATTGCTAATGCTTAATATCTTATTTAATTCCTTCTGTAGTTAATTTAGAGCATTTCAGCATTCTTCAGAGTAAATCCTATATGGTTTGTAATGATACTGCAGATACAGATCTTCATCTAAGATTAATTTAGTTTATGTTCATTGAGCTATTGGTACTTGGAAGAATTATCCCATCTGAAACTAGTAAATAATGTGAGGACTTGAGCTTATAAAAATACTACTATAGCTTTCTGGAGCATAAAATTGCCTTTAAAAATACAGTATTTTCTCTCTTGTTAGAACATCTGATACTTTCTTGATAGCTTAGATGTTGTGTGGTCTCCCACTTTCTGATAGCATATGGATGAGTCCCATCTGCTCCTTTACAGCTAGGATCAGCTGTTACTATAACTGTGGGGTTTTTTAATTTGTTTCATTTTTCTGAACTTGGCTTTTCAGTTTGCAGATGTTTTTCAGGCATATTGCTAGGGACTGAAACAGTAATGCTAACAACAGGTATGTTCAGGCATGCATGTGATTTGGTACTTCATCATTTTTATCAAAAGTCAAACAGCAGAAAGCTTTCATGCATTTCCTAAAAATTAAAGGGACCCTTATGTTCAGGATAGTCAGTCTGTGATCTGAAAGAAAAATACCCTTCAAAAATCTCTTACCATTTTATAGATTAGGGAGCCACACTGTTCCAGACAGTT